GTGCTGCTGCCACTGCCACTGCTGGTGCTGCCAGTGCTGCTGCCACTGCCACTGCTGGTGCTGCCAGTGCTGCTGCCACTGCCACTGCTGGTGCTGCCAGTGCTGCTGCCACTGCCACTGCTGGTGCTGCCAGTGCTGCTGCCACTGCCACTGCTGGTGCTGCCAGTGCTGCTGCCACTGCCACTGCTGGTGCTGCCAGTGCTGCTGCCACTGCCACTGCTGGTGCTGCCAGTGCTGCTGCCACTGCCACTGCTGGTGCTGCCAGTGCTGCTGCCACTGCCACTGCTGGTGCTGCCAGTGCTGCTGCCACTGCCACTGCTGGTGCTGCCAGTGCTGCTGCCACTGCCACTGCTGGTGCTGCCAGTGCTGCTGCCACTGCCACTGCTGGTGCTGCCAGTGCTGCTGCCACTGCCACTGCTGGTGCTGCCAGTGCTGCTGCCACTGCCACTGCTGGTGCTGCCAGTGCTGCTGCCACTGCCACTGCTGGTGCTGCCAGTGCTGCTGCCACTGCCACTGCTGGTGCTGCCAGTGCTGCTGCCACTGCCACTGCTGGTGCTGCCAGTGCTGCTGCCACTGCCACTGCTGGTGCTGCCAGTGCTGCTGCCACTGCCACTGCTGGTGCTGCCAGTGCTGCTGCCACTGCCACTGCTGGTGCTGCCAGTGCTGCTGCCACTGCCACTGCTGGTGCTGCCAGTGCTGCTGCCACTGCCACTGCTGGTGCTGCCAGTGCTGCTGCCACTGCCACTGCTGGTGCTGCCAGTGCTGCTGCCACTGCCACTGCTGGTGCTGCCAGTGCTGCTGCCACTGCCACTGCTGGTGCTGCCAGTGCTGCTGCCACTGCCACTGCTGGTGCTGCCAGTGCTGCTGCCACTGCCACTGCTGGTGCTGCCAGTGCTGCTGCCACTGCCACTGCTGGTGCTGCCAGTGCTGCTGCCACTGCCACTGCTGGTGCTGCCAGTGCTGCTGCCACTGCCACTGCTGGTGCTGCCAGTGCTGCTGCCACTGCCACTGCTGGTGCTGCCAGTGCTGCTGCCACTGCCACTGCTGGTGCTGCCAGTGCTGCTGCCACTGCCACTGCTGGTGCTGCCAGTGCTGCTGCCACTGCCACTGCTGGTGCTGCCAGTGCTGCTGCCACTGCCACTGCTGGTGCTGCCAGTGCTGCTGCCACTGCCACTGCTGGTGCTGCCAGTGCTGCTGCCACTGCCACTGCTGGTGCTGCCAGTGCTGCTGCCACTGCCACTGCTGGTGCTGCCAGTGCTGCTGCCACTGCCACTGCTGGTGCTGCCAGTGCTGCTGCCACTGCCACTGCTGGTGCTGCCAGTGCTGCTGCCACTGCCACTGCTGGTGCTGCCAGTGCTGCTGCCACTGCCACTGCTGGTGCTGCCAGTGCTGCTGCCACTGCCACTGCTGGTGCTGCCAGTGCTGCTGCCACTGCCACTGCTGGTGCTGCCAGTGCTGCTGCCACTGCCACTGCTGGTGCTGCCAGTGCTGCTGCCACTGCCACTGCTGGTGCTGCCAGTGCTGCTGCCACTGCCACTGCTGGTGCTGCCAGTGCTGCTGCCACTGCCACTGCTGGTGCTGCCAGTGCTGCTGCCACTGCCACTGCTGGTGCTGCCAGTGCTGCTGCCACTGCCACTGCTGGTGCTGCCAGTGCTGCTGCCACTGCCACTGCTGGTGCTGCCAGTGCTGCTGCCACTGCCACTGCTGGTGCTGCCAGTGCTGCTGCCACTGCCACTGCTGGTGCTGCCAGTGCTGCTGCCACTGCCACTGCTGGTGCTGCCAGTGCTGCTGCCACTGCCACTGCTGGTGCTGCCAGTGCTGCTGCCACTGCCACTGCTGGTGCTGCCAGTGCTGCTGCCACTGCCACTGCTGGTGCTGCCAGTGCTGCTGCCACTGCCACTGCTGGTGCTGCCAGTGCTGCTGCCACTGCCACTGCTGGTGCTGCCAGTGCTGCTGCCACTGCCACTGCTGGTGCTGCCAGTGCTGCTGCCACTGCCACTGCTGGTGCTGCCAGTGCTGCTGCCACTGCCACTGCTGGTGCTGCCAGTGCTGCTGCCACTGCCACTGCTGGTGCTGCCAGTGCTGCTGCCACTGCCACTGCTGGTGCTGCCAGTGCTGCTGCCACTGCCACTGCTGGTGCTGCCAGTGCTGCTGCCACTGCCACTGCTGGTGCTGCCAGTGCTGCTGCCACTGCCACTGCTGGTGCTGCCAGTGCTGCTGCCACTGCCACTGCTGGTGCTGCCAGTGCTGCTGCCACTGCCACTGCTGGTGCTGCCAGTGCTGCTGCCACTGCCACTGCTGGTGCTGCCAGTGCTGCTGCCACTGCCACTGCTGGTGCTGCCAGTGCTGCTGCCACTGCCACTGCTGGTGCTGCCAGTGCTGCTGCCACTGCCACTGCTGGTGCTGCCAGTGCTGCTGCCACTGCCACTGCTGGTGCTGCCAGTGCTGCTGCCACTGCCACTGCTGGTGCTGCCAGTGCTGCTGCCACTGCCACTGCTGGTGCTGCCAGTGCTGCTGCCACTGCCACTGCTGGTGCTGCCAGTGCTGCTGCCACTGCCACTGCTGGTGCTGCCAGTGCTGCTGCCACTGCCACTGCTGGTGCTGCCAGTGCTGCTGCCACTGCCACTGCTGGTGCTGCCAGTGCTGCTGCCACTGCCACTGCTGGTGCTGCCAGTGCTGCTGCCACTGCCACTGCTGGTGCTGCCAGTGCTGCTGCCACTGCCACTGCTGGTGCTGCCAGTGCTGCTGCCACTGCCACTGCTGGTGCTGCCAGTGCTGCTGCCACTGCCACTGCTGGTGCTGCCAGTGCTGCTGCCACTGCCACTGCTGGTGCTGCCAGTGCTGCTGCCACTGCCACTGCTGGTGCTGCCAGTGCTGCTGCCACTGCCACTGCTGGTGCTGCCAGTGCTGCTGCCACTGCCACTGCTGGTGCTGCCAGTGCTGCTGCCACTGCCACTGCTGGTGCTGCCAGTGCTGCTGCCACTGCCACTGCTGGTGCTGCCAGTGCTGCTGCCACTGCCACTGCTGGTGCTGCCAGTGCTGCTGCCACTGCCACTGCTGGTGCTGCCAGTGCTGCTGCCACTGCCACTGCTGGTGCTGCCAGTGCTGCTGCCACTGCCACTGCTGGTGCTGCCAGTGCTGCTGCCACTGCCACTGCTGGTGCTGCCAGTGCTGCTGCCACTGCCACTGCTGGTGCTGCCAGTGCTGCTGCCACTGCCACTGCTGGTGCTGCCAGTGCTGCTGCCACTGCCACTGCTGGTGCTGCCAGTGCTGCTGCCACTGCCACTGCTGGTGCTGCCAGTGCTGCTGCCACTGCCACTGCTGGTGCTGCCAGTGCTGCTGCCACTGCCACTGCTGGTGCTGCCAGTGCTGCTGCCACTGCCACTGCTGGTGCTGCCAGTGCTGCTGCCACTGCCACTGCTGGTGCTGCCAGTGCTGCTGCCACTGCCACTGCTGGTGCTGCCAGTGCTGCTGCCACTGCCACTGCTGGTGCTGCCAGTGCTGCTGCCACTGCCACTGCTGGTGCTGCCAGTGCTGCTGCCACTGCCACTGCTGGTGCTGCCAGTGCTGCTGCCACTGCCACTGCTGGTGCTGCCAGTGCTGCTGCCACTGCCACTGCTGGTGCTGCCAGTGCTGCTGCCACTGCCACTGCTGGTGCTGCCAGTGCTGCTGCCACTGCCACTGCTGGTGCTGCCAGTGCTGCTGCCACTGCCACTGCTGGTGCTGCCAGTGCTGCTGCCACTGCCACTGCTGGTGCTGCCAGTGCTGCTGCCACTGCCACTGCTGGTGCTGCCAGTGCTGCTGCCACTGCCACTGCTGGTGCTGCCAGTGCTGCTGCCACTGCCACTGCTGGTGCTGCCAGTGCTGCTGCCACTGCCACTGCTGGTGCTGCCAGTGCTGCTGCCACTGCCACTGCTGGTGCTGCCAGTGCTGCTGCCACTGCCACTGCTGGTGCTGCCAGTGCTGCTGCCACTGCCACTGCTGGTGCTGCCAGTGCTGCTGCCACTGCCACTGCTGGTGCTGCCAGTGCTGCTGCCACTGCCACTGCTGGTGCTGCCAGTGCTGCTGCCACTGCCACTGCTGGTGCTGCCAGTGCTGCTGCCACTGCCACTGCTGGTGCTGCCAGTGCTGCTGCCACTGCCACTGCTGGTGCTGCCAGTGCTGCTGCCACTGCCACTGCTGGTGCTGCCAGTGCTGCTGCCACTGCCACTGCTGGTGCTGCCAGTGCTGCTGCCACTGCCACTGCTGGTGCTGCCAGTGCTGCTGCCACTGCCACTGCTGGTGCTGCCAGTGCTGCTGCCACTGCCACTGCTGGTGCTGCCAGTGCTGCTGCCACTGCCACTGCTGGTGCTGCCAGTGCTGCTGCCACTGCCACTGCTGGTGCTGCCAGTGCTGCTGCCACTGCCACTGCTGGTGCTGCCAGTGCTGCTGCCACTGCCACTGCTGGTGCTGCCAGTGCTGCTGCCACTGCCACTGCTGGTGCTGCCAGTGCTGCTGCCACTGCCACTGCTGGTGCTGCCAGTGCTGCTGCCACTGCCACTGCTGGTGCTGCCAGTGCTGCTGCCACTGCCACTGCTGGTGCTGCCAGTGCTGCTGCCACTGCCACTGCTGGTGCTGCCAGTGCTGCTGCCACTGCCACTGCTGGTGCTGCCAGTGCTGCTGCCACTGCCACTGCTGGTGCTGCCAGTGCTGCTGCCACTGCCACTGCTGGTGCTGCCAGTGCTGCTGCCACTGCCACTGCTGGTGCTGCCAGTGCTGCTGCCACTGCCACTGCTGGTGCTGCCAGTGCTGCTGCCACTGCCACTGCTGGTGCTGCCAGTGCTGCTGCCACTGCCACTGCTGGTGCTGCCAGTGCTGCTGCCACTGCCACTGCTGGTGCTGCCAGTGCTGCTGCCACTGCCACTGCTGGTGCTGCCAGTGCTGCTGCCACTGCCACTGCTGGTGCTGCCAGTGCTGCTGCCACTGCCACTGCTGGTGCTGCCAGTGCTGCTGCCACTGCCACTGCTGGTGCTGCCAGTGCTGCTGCCACTGCCACTGCTGGTGCTGCCAGTGCTGCTGCCACTGCCACTGCTGGTGCTGCCAGTGCTGCTGCCACTGCCACTGCTGGTGCTGCCAGTGCTGCTGCCACTGCCACTGCTGGTGCTGCCAGTGCTGCTGCCACTGCCACTGCTGGTGCTGCCAGTGCTGCTGCCACTGCCACTGCTGGTGCTGCCAGTGCTGCTGCCACTGCCACTGCTGGTGCTGCCAGTGCTGCTGCCACTGCCACTGCTGGTGCTGCCAGTGCTGCTGCCACTGCCACTGCTGGTGCTGCCAGTGCTGCTGCCACTGCCACTGCTGGTGCTGCCAGTGCTGCTGCCACTGCCACTGCTGGTGCTGCCAGTGCTGCTGCCACTGCCACTGCTGGTGCTGCCAGTGCTGCTGCCACTGCCACTGCTGGTGCTGCCAGTGCTGCTGCCACTGCCACTGCTGGTGCTGCCAGTGCTGCTGCCACTGCCACTGCTGGTGCTGCCAGTGCTGCTGCCACTGCCACTGCTGGTGCTGCCAGTGCTGCTGCCACTGCCACTGCTGGTGCTGCCAGTGCTGCTGCCACTGCCACTGCTGGTGCTGCCAGTGCTGCTGCCACTGCCACTGCTGGTGCTGCCAGTGCTGCTGCCACTGCCACTGCTGGTGCTGCCAGTGCTGCTGCCACTGCCACTGCTGGTGCTGCCAGTGCTGCTGCCACTGCCACTGCTGGTGCTGCCAGTGCTGCTGCCACTGCCACTGCTGGTGCTGCCAGTGCTGCTGCCACTGCCACTGCTGGTGCTGCCAGTGCTGCTGCCACTGCCACTGCTGGTGCTGCCAGTGCTGCTGCCACTGCCACTGCTGGTGCTGCCAGTGCTGCTGCCACTGCCACTGCTGGTGCTGCCAGTGCTGCTGCCACTGCCACTGCTGGTGCTGCCAGTGCTGCTGCCACTGCCACTGCTGGTGCTGCCAGTGCTGCTGCCACTGCCACTGCTGGTGCTGCCAGTGCTGCTGCCACTGCCACTGCTGGTGCTGCCAGTGCTGCTGCCACTGCCACTGCTGGTGCTGCCAGTGCTGCTGCCACTGCCACTGCTGGTGCTGCCAGTGCTGCTGCCACTGCCACTGCTGGTGCTGCCAGTGCTGCTGCCACTGCCACTGCTGGTGCTGCCAGTGCTGCTGCCACTGCCACTGCTGGTGCTGCCAGTGCTGCTGCCACTGCCACTGCTGGTGCTGCCAGTGCTGCTGCCACTGCCACTGCTGGTGCTGCCAGTGCTGCTGCCACTGCCACTGCTGGTGCTGCCAGTGCTGCTGCCACTGCCACTGCTGGTGCTGCCAGTGCTGCTGCCACTGCCACTGCTGGTGCTGCCAGTGCTGCTGCCACTGCCACTGCTGGTGCTGCCAGTGCTGCTGCCACTGCCACTGCTGGTGCTGCCAGTGCTGCTGCCACTGCCACTGCTGGTGCTGCCAGTGCTGCTGCCACTGCCACTGCTGGTGCTGCCAGTGCTGCTGCCACTGCCACTGCTGGTGCTGCCAGTGCTGCTGCCACTGCCACTGCTGGTGCTGCCAGTGCTGCTGCCACTGCCACTGCTGGTGCTGCCAGTGCTGCTGCCACTGCCACTGCTGGTGCTGCCAGTGCTGCTGCCACTGCCACTGCTGGTGCTGCCAGTGCTGCTGCCACTGCCACTGCTGGTGCTGCCAGTGCTGCTGCCACTGCCACTGCTGGTGCTGCCAGTGCTGCTGCCACTGCCACTGCTGGTGCTGCCAGTGCTGCTGCCACTGCCACTGCTGGTGCTGCCAGTGCTGCTGCCACTGCCACTGCTGGTGCTGCCAGTGCTGCTGCCACTGCCACTGCTGGTGCTGCCAGTGCTGCTGCCACTGCCACTGCTGGTGCTGCCAGTGCTGCTGCCACTGCCACTGCTGGTGCTGCCAGTGCTGCTGCCACTGCCACTGCTGGTGCTGCCAGTGCTGCTGCCACTGCCACTGCTGGTGCTGCCAGTGCTGCTGCCACTGCCACTGCTGGTGCTGCCAGTGCTGCTGCCACTGCCACTGCTGGTGCTGCCAGTGCTGCTGCCACTGCCACTGCTGGTGCTGCCAGTGCTGCTGCCACTGCCACTGCTGGTGCTGCCAGTGCTGCTGCCACTGCCACTGCTGGTGCTGCCAGTGCTGCTGCCACTGCCACTGCTGGTGCTGCCAGTGCTGCTGCCACTGCCACTGCTGGTGCTGCCAGTGCTGCTGCCACTGCCACTGCTGGTGCTGCCAGTGCTGCTGCCACTGCCACTGCTGGTGCTGCCAGTGCTGCTGCCACTGCCACTGCTGGTGCTGCCAGTGCTGCTGCCACTGCCACTGCTGGTGCTGCCAGTGCTGCTGCCACTGCCACTGCTGGTGCTGCCAGTGCTGCTGCCACTGCCACTGCTGGTGCTGCCAGTGCTGCTGCCACTGCCACTGCTGGTGCTGCCAGTGCTGCTGCCACTGCCACTGCTGGTGCTGCCAGTGCTGCTGCCACTGCCACTGCTGGTGCTGCCAGTGCTGCTGCCACTGCCACTGCTGGTGCTGCCAGTGCTGCTGCCACTGCCACTGCTGGTGCTGCCAGTGCTGCTGCCACTGCCACTGCTGGTGCTGCCAGTGCTGCTGCCACTGCCACTGCTGGTGCTGCCAGTGCTGCTGCCACTGCCACTGCTGGTGCTGCCAGTGCTGCTGCCACTGCCACTGCTGGTGCTGCCAGTGCTGCTGCCACTGCCACTGCTGGTGCTGCCAGTGCTGCTGCCACTGCCACTGCTGGTGCTGCCAGTGCTGCTGCCACTGCCACTGCTGGTGCTGCCAGTGCTGCTGCCACTGCCACTGCTGGTGCTGCCAGTGCTGCTGCCACTGCCACTGCTGGTGCTGCCAGTGCTGCTGCCACTGCCACTGCTGGTGCTGCCAGTGCTGCTGCCACTGCCACTGCTGGTGCTGCCAGTGCTGCTGCCACTGCCACTGCTGGTGCTGCCAGTGCTGCTGCCACTGCCACTGCTGGTGCTGCCAGTGCTGCTGCCACTGCCACTGCTGGTGCTGCCAGTGCTGCTGCCACTGCCACTGCTGGTGCTGCCAGTGCTGCTGCCACTGCCACTGCTGGTGCTGCCAGTGCTGCTGCCACTGCCACTGCTGGTGCTGCCAGTGCTGCTGCCACTGCCACTGCTGGTGCTGCCAGTGCTGCTGCCACTGCCACTGCTGGTGCTGCCAGTGCTGCTGCCACTGCCACTGCTGGTGCTGCCAGTGCTGCTGCCACTGCCACTGCTGGTGCTGCCAGTGCTGCTGCCACTGCCACTGCTGGTGCTGCCAGTGCTGCTGCCACTGCCACTGCTGGTGCTGCCAGTGCTGCTGCCACTGCCACTGCTGGTGCTGCCAGTGCTGCTGCCACTGCCACTGCTGGTGCTGCCAGTGCTGCTGCCACTGCCACTGCTGGTGCTGCCAGTGCTGCTGCCACTGCCACTGCTGGTGCTGCCAGTGCTGCTGCCACTGCCACTGCTGGTGCTGCCAGTGCTGCTGCCACTGCCACTGCTGGTGCTGCCAGTGCTGCTGCCACTGCCACTGCTGGTGCTGCCAGTGCTGCTGCCACTGCCACTGCTGGTGCTGCCAGTGCTGCTGCCACTGCCACTGCTGGTGCTGCCAGTGCTGCTGCCACTGCCACTGCTGGTGCTGCCAGTGCTGCTGCCACTGCCACTGCTGGTGCTGCCAGTGCTGCTGCCACTGCCACTGCTGGTGCTGCCAGTGCTGCTGCCACTGCCACTGCTGGTGCTGCCAGTGCTGCTGCCACTGCCACTGCTGGTGCTGCCAGTGCTGCTGCCACTGCCACTGCTGGTGCTGCCAGTGCTGCTGCCACTGCCACTGCTGGTGCTGCCAGTGCTGCTGCCACTGCCACTGCTGGTGCTGCCAGTGCTGCTGCCACTGCCACTGCTGGTGCTGCCAGTGCTGCTGCCACTGCCACTGCTGGTGCTGCCAGTGCTGCTGCCACTGCCACTGCTGGTGCTGCCAGTGCTGCTGCCACTGCCACTGCTGGTGCTGCCAGTGCTGCTGCCACTGCCACTGCTGGTGCTGCCAGTGCTGCTGCCACTGCCACTGCTGGTGCTGCCAGTGCTGCTGCCACTGCCACTGCTGGTGCTGCCAGTGCTGCTGCCACTGCCACTGCTGGTGCTGCCAGTGCTGCTGCCACTGCCACTGCTGGTGCTGCCAGTGCTGCTGCCACTGCCACTGCTGGTGCTGCCAGTGCTGCTGCCACTGCCACTGCTGGTGCTGCCAGTGCTGCTGCCACTGCCACTGCTGGTGCTGCCAGTGCTGCTGCCACTGCCACTGCTGGTGCTGCCAGTGCTGCTGCCACTGCCACTGCTGGTGCTGCCAGTGCTGCTGCCACTGCCACTGCTGGTGCTGCCAGTGCTGCTGCCACTGCCACTGCTGGTGCTGCCAGTGCTGCTGCCACTGCCACTGCTGGTGCTGCCAGTGCTGCTGCCACTGCCACTGCTGGTGCTGCCAGTGCTGCTGCCACTGCCACTGCTGGTGCTGCCAGTGCTGCTGCCACTGCCACTGCTGGTGCTGCCAGTGCTGCTGCCACTGCCACTGCTGGTGCTGCCAGTGCTGCTGCCACTGCCACTGCTGGTGCTGCCAGTGCTGCTGCCACTGCCACTGCTGGTGCTGCCAGTGCTGCTGCCACTGCCACTGCTGGTGCTGCCAGTGCTGCTGCCACTGCCACTGCTGGTGCTGCCAGTGCTGCTGCCACTGCCACTGCTGGTGCTGCCAGTGCTGCTGCCACTGCCACTGCTGGTGCTGCCAGTGCTGCTGCCACTGCCACTGCTGGTGCTGCCAGTGCTGCTGCCACTGCCACTGCTGGTGCTGCCAGTGCTGCTGCCACTGCCACTGCTGGTGCTGCCAGTGCTGCTGCCACTGCCACTGCTGGTGCTGCCAGTGCTGCTGCCACTGCCACTGCTGGTGCTGCCAGTGCTGCTGCCACTGCCACTGCTGGTGCTGCCAGTGCTGCTGCCACTGCCACTGCTGGTGCTGCCAGTGCTGCTGCCACTGCCACTGCTGGTGCTGCCAGTGCTGCTGCCACTGCCACTGCTGGTGCTGCCAGTGCTGCTGCCACTGCCACTGCTGGTGCTGCCAGTGCTGCTGCCACTGCCACTGCTGGTGCTGCCAGTGCTGCTGCCACTGCCACTGCTGGTGCTGCCAGTGCTGCTGCCACTGCCACTGCTGGTGCTGCCAGTGCTGCTGCCACTGCCACTGCTGGTGCTGCCAGTGCTGCTGCCACTGCCACTGCTGGTGCTGCCAGTGCTGCTGCCACTGCCACTGCTGGTGCTGCCAGTGCTGCTGCCACTGCCACTGCTGGTGCTGCCAGTGCTGCTGCCACTGCCACTGCTGGTGCTGCCAGTGCTGCTGCCACTGCCACTGCTGGTGCTGCCAGTGCTGCTGCCACTGCCACTGCTGGTGCTGCCAGTGCTGCTGCCACTGCCACTGCTGGTGCTGCCAGTGCTGCTGCCACTGCCACTGCTGGTGCTGCCAGTGCTGCTGCCACTGCCACTGCCACTGCTGGTGCTGCCAGTGCTGCTGCCACTGCCACTGCTGGTGCTGCCAGTGCTGCTGCCACTGCCACTGCTGGTGCTGCCAGTGCTGCTGCCACTGCCACTGCTGGTGCTGCCAGTGCTGCTGCCACTGCCACTGCTGGTGCTGCCAGTGCTGCTGCCACTGCCACTGCTGGTGCTGCCAGTGCTGCTGCCACTGCCACTGCTGGTGCTGCCAGTGCTGCTGCCACTGCCACTGCTGGTGCTGCCAGTGCTGCTGCCACTGCCACTGCTGGTGCTGCCAGTGCTGCTGCCACTGCCACTGCTGGTGCTGCCAGTGCTGCTGCCACTGCCACTGCTGGTGCTGCCAGTGCTGCTGCCACTGCCACTGCTGGTGCTGCCAGTGCTGCTGCCACTGCCACTGCTGGTGCTGCCAGTGCTGCTGCCACTGCCACTGCTGGTGCTGCCAGTGCTGCTGCCACTGCCACTGCTGGTGCTGCCAGTGCTGCTGCCACTGCCACTGCTGGTGCTGCCAGTGCTGCTGCCACTGCCACTGCTGGTGCTGCCAGTGCTGCTGCCACTGCCACTGCTGGTGCTGCCAGTGCTGCTGCCACTGCCACTGCTGGTGCTGCCAGTGCTGCTGCCACTGCCACTGCTGGTGCTGCCAGTGCTGCTGCCACTGCCACTGCTGGTGCTGCCAGTGCTGCTGCCACTGCCACTGCTGGTGCTGCCAGTGCTGCTGCCACTGCCACTGCTGGTGCTGCCAGTGCTGCTGCCACTGCCACTGCTGGTGCTGCCAGTGCTGCTGCCACTGCCACTGCTGGTGCTGCCAGTGCTGCTGCCACTGCCACTGCTGGTGCTGCCAGTGCTGCTGCCACTGCCACTGCTGGTGCTGCCAGTGCTGCTGCCACTGCCACTGCTGGTGCTGCCAGTGCTGCTGCCACTGCCACTGCTGGTGCTGCCAGTGCTGCTGCCACTGCCACTGCTGGTGCTGCCAGTGCTGCTGCCACTGCCACTGCTGGTGCTGCCAGTGCTGCTGCCACTGCCACTGCTGGTGCTGCCAGTGCTGCTGCCACTGCCACTGCTGGTGCTGCCAGTGCTGCTGCCACTGCCACTGCTGGTGCTGCCAGTGCTGCTGCCACTGCCACTGCTGGTGCTGCCAGTGCTGCTGCCACTGCCACTGCTGGTGCTGCCAGTGCTGCTGCCACTGCCACTGCTGGTGCTGCCAGTGCTGCTGCCACTGCCACTGCTGGTGCTGCCAGTGCTGCTGCCACTGCCACTGCTGGTGCTGCCAGTGCTGCTGCCACTGCCACTGCTGGTGCTGCCAGTGCTGCTGCCACTGCCACTGCTGGTGCTGCCAGTGCTGCTGCCACTGCCACTGCTGGTGCTGCCAGTGCTGCTGCCACTGCCACTGCTGGTGCTGCCAGTGCTGCTGCCACTGCCACTGCTGGTGCTGCCAGTGCTGCTGCCACTGCCACTGCTGGTGCTGCCAGTGCTGCTGCCACTGCCACTGCTGGTGCTGCCAGTGCTGCTGCCACTGCCACTGCTGGTGCTGCCAGTGCTGCTGCCACTGCCACTGCTGGTGCTGCCAGTGCTGCTGCCACTGCCACTGCTGGTGCTGCCAGTGCTGCTGCCACTGCCACTGCTGGTGCTGCCAGTGCTGCTGCCACTGCCACTGCTGGTGCTGCCAGTGCTGCTGCCACTGCCACTGCTGGTGCTGCCAGTGCTGCTGCCACTGCCACTGCTGGTGCTGCCAGTGCTGCTGCCACTGCCACTGCTGGTGCTGCCAGTGCTGCTGCCACTGCCACTGCTGGTGCTGCCAGTGCTGCTGCCACTGCCACTGCTGGTGCTGCCAGTGCTGCTGCCACTGCCACTGCTGGTGCTGCCAGTGCTGCTGCCACTGCCACTGCTGGTGCTGCCAGTGCTGCTGCCACTGCCACTGCTGGTGCTGCCAGTGCTGCTGCCACTGCCACTGCTGGTGCTGCCAGTGCTGCTGCCACTGCCACTGCTGGTGCTGCCAGTGCTGCTGCCACTGCCACTGCTGGTGCTGCCAGTGCTGCTGCCACTGCCACTGCTGGTGCTGCCAGTGCTGCTGCCACTGCCACTGCTGGTGCTGCCAGTGCTGCTGCCACTGCCACTGCTGGTGCTGCCAGTGCTGCTGCCACTGCCACTGCTGGTGCTGCCAGTGCTGCTGCCACTGCCACTGCTGGTGCTGCCAGTGCTGCTGCCACTGCCACTGCTGGTGCTGCCAGTGCTGCTGCCACTGCCACTGCTGGTGCTGCCAGTGCTGCTGCCACTGCCACTGCTGGTGCTGCCAGTGCTGCTGCCACTGCCACTGCTGGTGCTGCCAGTGCTGCTGCCACTGCCACTGCTGGTGCTGCCAGTGCTGCTGCCACTGCCACTGCTGGTGCTGCCAGTGCTGCTGCCACTGCCACTGCTGGTGCTGCCAGTGCTGCTGCCACTGCCACTGCTGGTGCTGCCAGTGCTGCTGCCACTGCCACTGCTGGTGCTGCCAGTGCTGCTGCCACTGCCACTGCTGGTGCTGCCAGTGCTGCTGCCACTGCCACTGCTGGTGCTGCCAGTGCTGCTGCCACTGCCACTGCTGGTGCTGCCAGTGCTGCTGCCACTGCCACTGCTGGTGCTGCCAGTGCTGCTGCCACTGCCACTGCTGGTGCTGCCAGTGCTGCTGCCACTGCCACTGCTGGTGCTGCCAGTGCTGCTGCCACTGCCACTGCTGGTGCTGCCAGTGCTGCTGCCACTGCCACTGCTGGTGCTGCCAGTGCTGCTGCCACTGCCACTGCTGGTGCTGCCAGTGCTGCTGCCACTGCCACTGCTGGTGCTGCCAGTGCTGCTGCCACTGCCACTGCTGGTGCTGCCAGTGCTGCTGCCACTGCCACTGCTGGTGCTGCCAGTGCTGCTGCCACTGCCACTGCTGGTGCTGCCAGTGCTGCTGCCACTGCCACTGCTGGTGCTGCCAGTGCTGCTGCCACTGCCACTGCTGGTGCTGCCAGTGCTGCTGCCACTGCCACTGCTGGTGCTGCCAGTGCTGCTGCCACTGCCACTGCTGGTGCTGCCAGTGCTGCTGCCACTGCCACTGCTGGTGCTGCCAGTGCTGCTGCCACTGCCACTGCTGGTGCTGCCAGTGCTGCTGCCACTGCCACTGCTGGTGCTGCCAGTGCTGCTGCCACTGCCACTGCTGGTGCTGCCAGTGCTGCTGCCACTGCCACTGCTGGTGCTGCCAGTGCTGCTGCCACTGCCACTGCTGGTGCTGCCAGTGCTGCTGCCACTGCCACTGCTGGTGCTGCCAGTGCTGCTGCCACTGCCACTGCTGGTGCTGCCAGTGCTGCTGCCACTGCCACTGCTGGTGCTGCCAGTGCTGCTGCCACTGCCACTGCTGGTGCTGCCAGTGCTGCTGCCACTGCCACTGCTGGTGCTGCCAGTGCTGCTGCCACTGCCACTGCTGGTGCTGCCAGTGCTGCTGCCACTGCCACTGCTGGTGCTGCCAGTGCTGCTGCCACTGCCACTGCTGGTGCTGCCAGTGCTGCTGCCACTGCCACTGCTGGTGCTGCCAGTGCTGCTGCCACTGCCACTGCTGGTGCTGCCAGTGCTGCTGCCACTGCCACTGCTGGTGCTGCCAGTGCTGCTGCCACTGCCACTGCTGGTGCTGCCAGTGCTGCTGCCACTGCCACTGCTGGTGCTGCCAGTGCTGCTGCCACTGCCACTGCTGGTGCTGCCAGTGCTGCTGCCACTGCCACTGCTGGTGCTGCCAGTGCTGCTGCCACTGCCACTGCTGGTGCTGCCAGTGCTGCTGCCACTGCCACTGCTGGTGCTGCCAGTGCTGCTGCCACTGCCACTGCTGGTGCTGCCAGTGCTGCTGCCACTGCCACTGCTGGTGCTGCCAGTGCTGCTGCCACTGCCACTGCTGGTGCTGCCAGTGCTGCTGCCACTGCCACTGCTGGTGCTGCCAGTGCTGCTGCCACTGCCACTGCTGGTGCTGCCAGTGCTGCTGCCACTGCCACTGCTGGTGCTGCCAGTGCTGCTGCCACTGCCACTGCTGGTGCTGCCAGTGCTGCTGCCACTGCCACTGCTGGTGCTGCCAGTGCTGCTGCCACTGCCACTGCTGGTGCTGCCAGTGCTGCTGCCACTGCCACTGCTGGTGCTGCCAGTGCTGCTGCCACTGCCACTGCTGGTGCTGCCAGTGCTGCTGCCACTGCCACTGCTGGTGCTGCCAGTGCTGCTGCCACTGCCACTGCTGGTGCTGCCAGTGCTGCTGCCACTGCCACTGCTGGTGCTGCCAGTGCTGCTGCCACTGCCACTGCTGGTGCTGCCAGTGCTGCTGCCACTGCCACTGCTGGTGCTGCCAGTGCTGCTGCCACTGCCACTGCTGGTGCTGCCAGTGCTGCTGCCACTGCCACTGCTGGTGCTGCCAGTGCTGCTGCCACTGCCACTGCTGGTGCTGCCAGTGCTGCTGCCACTGCCACTGCTGGTGCTGCCAGTGCTGCTGCCACTGCCACTGCTGGTGCTGCCAGTGCTGCTGCCACTGCCACTGCTGGTGCTGCCAGTGCTGCTGCCACTGCCACTGCTGGTGCTGCCGTTGCTGCTGCCACTGCCACTGCTGGTGCTGCCAGTGCTGCTGCCACTGCCACTGCTGGTGCTGCCAGTGCTGCTGCCACTGCCACTGCTGGTGCTGCCAGTGCTGCTGCCACTGCCACTGCTGGTGCTGCCAGTGCTGCTGCCACTGCCACTGCTGGTGCTGCCAGTGCTGCTGCCACTGCCACTGCTGGTGCTGCCAGTGCTGCTGCCACTGCCACTGCTGGTGCTGCCGTTGCTGCTGCCACTGCCACTGCTGGTGCTGCCAGTGCTGCTGCCACTGCCACTGCTGGTGCTGCCAGTGCTGCTGCCACTGCCACTGCTGGTGCTGCCGTTGCTGCTGCCACTGCCACTGCTGGTGCTGCCGTTGCTGCTGCCACTGCCACTGCTGGTGCTGCCGTTGCTGCTGCCACTGCCACTGCTGGTGCTGCCAGTGCTGCTGCCACTGCCACTGCTGGTGCTGCCAGTGCTGCTGCCACTGCCACTGCTGGTGCTGCCAGTGCTGCTGCCACTGCCACTGCTGGTGCTGCCAGTGCTGCTGCCACTGCCACTGCTGGTGCTGCCAGTGCTGCTGCCACTGCCACTGCTGGTGCTGCCAGTGCTGCTGCCACTGCCACTGCTGGTGCTGCCAGTGCTGCTGCCACTGCCACTGCTGGTGCTGCCAGTGCTGCTGCCACTGCCACTGCTGGTGCTGCCAGTGCTGCTGCCACTGCCACTGCTGGTGCTGCCAGTGCTGCTGCCACTGCCACTGCTGGTGCTGCCAGTGCTGCTGCCACTGCCACTGCTGGTGCTGCCAGTGCTGCTGCCACTGCCACTGCTGGTGCTGCCAGTGCTGCTGCCACTGCCACTGCTGGTGCTGCCAGTGCTGCTGCCACTGCCACTGCTGGTGCTGCCAGTGCTGCTGCCACTGCCACTGCTGGTGCTGCCAGTGCTGCTGCCACTGCCACTGCTGGTGCTGCCAGTGCTGCTGCCACTGCCACTGCTGGTGCTGCCAGTGCTGCTGCCACTGCCACTGCTGGTGCTGCCAGTGCTGCTGCCACTGCCACTGCTGGTGCTGCCAGTGCTGCTGCCACTGCCACTGCTGGTGCTGCCAGTGCTGCTGCCACTGCCACTGCTGGTGCTGCCAGTGCTGCTGCCACTGCCACTGCTGGTGCTGCCAGTGCTGCTGCCACTGCCACTGCTGGTGCTGCCAGTGCTGCTGCCACTGCCACTGCTGGTGCTGCCAGTGCTGCTGCCACTGCCACTGCTGGTGCTGCCAGTGCTGCTGCCACTGCCACTGCTGGTGCTGCCAGTGCTGCTGCCACTGCCACTGCTGGTGCTGCCAGTGCTGCTGCCACTGCCACTGCTGGTGCTGCCAGTGCTGCTGCCACTGCCACTGCTGGTGCTGCCAGTGCTGCTGCCACTGCCACTGCTGGTGCTGCCAGTGCTGCTGCCACTGCCACTGCTGGTGCTGCCAGTGCTGCTGCCACTGCCACTGCTGGTGCTGCCAGTGCTGCTGCCACTGCCACTGCTGGTGCTGCCAGTGCTGCTGCCACTGCCACTGCTGGTGCTGCCAGTGCTGCTGCCACTGCCACTGCTGGTGCTGCCAGTGCTGCTGCCACTGCCACTGCTGGTGCTGCCAGTGCTGCTGCCACTGCCACTGCTGGTGCTGCCAGTGCTGCTGCCACTGCCACTGCTGGTGCTGCCAGTGCTGCTGCCACTGCCACTGCTGGTGCTGCCAGTGCTGCTGCCACTGCCACTGCTGGTGCTGCCAGTGCTGCTGCCACTGCCACTGCTGGTGCTGCCAGTGCTGCTGCCACTGCCACTGCTGGTGCTGCCAGTGCTGCTGCCACTGCCACTGCTGGTGCTGCCAGTGCTGCTGCCACTGCCACTGCTGGTGCTGCCAGTGCTGCTGCCACTGCCACTGCTGGTGCTGCCAGTGCTGCTGCCACTGCCACTGCTGGTGCTGCCAGTGCTGCTGCCACTGCCACTGCTGGTGCTGCCAGTGCTGCTGCCACTGCCACTGCTGGTGCTGCCAGTGCTGCTGCCACTGCCACTGCTGGTGCTGCCAGTGCTGCTGCCACTGCCACTGCTGGTGCTGCCAGTGCTGCTGCCACTGCCACTGCTGGTGCTGCCAGTGCTGCTGCCACTGCCACTGCTGGTGCTGCCAGTGCTGCTGCCACTGCCACTGCTGGTGCTGCCAGTGCTGCTGCCACTGCCACTGCTGGTGCTGCCAGTGCTGCTGCCACTGCCACTGCTGGTGCTGCCAGTGCTGCTGCCACTGCCACTGCTGGTGCTGCCAGTGCTGCTGCCACTGCCACTGCTGGTGCTGCCAGTGCTGCTGCCACTGCCACTGCTGGTGCTGCCAGTGCTGCTGCCACTGCCACTGCTGGTGCTGCCAGTGCTGCTGCCACTGCCACTGCTGGTGCTGCCAGTGCTGCTGCCACTGCCACTGCTGGTGCTGCCAGTGCTGCTGCCACTGCCACTGCTGGTGCTGCCAGTGCTGCTGCCACTGCCACTGCTGGTGCTGCCAGTGCTGCTGCCACTGCCACTGCTGGTGCTGCCAGTGCTGCTGCCACTGCCACTGCTGGTGCTGCCAGTGCTGCTGCCACTGCCACTGCTGGTGCTGCCAGTGCTGCTGCCACTGCCACTGCTGGTGCTGCCAGTGCTGCTGCCACTGCCACTGCTGGTGCTGCCAGTGCTGCTGCCACTGCCACTGCTGGTGCTGCCAGTGCTGCTGCCACTGCCACTGCTGGTGCTGCCAGTGCTGCTGCCACTGCCACTGCTGGTGCTGCCAGTGCTGCTGCCACTGCCACTGCTGGTGCTGCCAGTGCTGCTGCCACTGCCACTGCTGGTGCTGCCAGTGCTGCTGCCACTGCCACTGCTGGTGCTGCCAGTGCTGCTGCCACTGCCACTGCTGGTGCTGCCAGTGCTGCTGCCACTGCCACTGCTGGTGCTGCCAGTGCTGCTGCCACTGCCACTGCTGGTGCTGCCAGTGCTGCTGCCACTGCCACTGCTGGTGCTGCCGTTGCTGCTGCTTCTTGTCTGCATGCTTGTCCTCCTCCCGTTCGCACGCCGGGCTATCCTTCCCCGTCTCCCAATCCCGCACTCTCCTCCTTCCATCGTGCCGCTTTGCATCACACTGCACCGCATGCTGCCCCTCACTCCTCCCCGCACAATTCCCCTCACGCTCACTCCTCTTCCCCGCATACCCTCTCCTCTTCCCCTCACTCTACCTCATCCTCTGCCCACTCCTCCCCCCACTCCTCCTCGCCCTCACTCCACCGCTCCCCATTCCGCCCCCACACTACCCCTCGCCTCTCCACCGCTCCTTCTCTTCCACCCCCTCAGCACCTCTTCCCCTCCAACCGAGCTGCACCGCTCTAGAATCCCCTGGAACCATCACTCGCAGCCGACCTCTCACTTCAAGCAATAGCCACAGCGGCACCAGCAGCACCAGCAGAGGTGGTAACAGCAGAAGCAGCAGCAGCAGCCCTACTAGCTGTAACACGGCTGCAGGGACTTTGTTTTCTGCTGGTGCTGCCAGGATGGGAGGAGCGACTGGAGGAAACTTGTATGCTGTTGCAGGTGCGTCTAGAGTGTTGCCGTTTAGAGCTGGGAGAGAAGGCGCTGGTGGGGAATCTGCGGTTGGGGCTGTGGGTGGGAGAGAGGCGTGTGGGGCACGTGCTATTGGTGAAAAGGAGGGTGGAGCAGGAGCAGGAACAGCAGGAGGGGGAGCAGCATCAGGGCGTGGAGGGGCAGCAGGGATGGGGTGGGGAGAGGCAGGGAGGGGTGGAGCAGCAGGGAGGGTGCATGTTGGGGGACACAGGAAGAGCCCATCCATGGGTGCACTGCCTTCCATGGTGTGCCATGGTGCTTTTGAGACGTCTCAAAGATCCCCGATGGGGGCACCGCCTTCGATGACCCACGCTGCTCCTTGGCTTGACCAGTTCTCCAGCAGCAACAGCAGCAGCAGCAGCAGCACTGCTACCAGGACGCACTGTGTGGGCAGTAGTGACACTCGTGGCAATCGAACGGGCGGCGAGATAGTGAGCGTCGACTTTATGGGCGGCGATTTTACGGGCGGCAAACTGATGGGTGGCAAACCAGTTGGGGGGAATCTAGTGATGGGCGTTTCGAGTGGAGGCAGTTTCATGAGGGGCAACTTAATGGGTGGCAATTCAATGGGCGGTGTTCCAATGAGTGGCAAACCTGCTGCTGCTAGTGCTGCCGGTGCTGGTGCTGCGGATGCTGCTACCTCTGCTCCTGGTGCAGCCGGTGCGTCCGGCGGTGATGGCTCTTGTTCTGGTAATTCTGCTGCTGCTGCTGCTGCTGCTGCTGCTGCTGCTGCTGCTGCTGCTGCTGCTGCTGCTGCTGCTGCTGCTGCTGCTGATGTTGCTGCTGATGTGCCCAGTGCTGCTGCTCCGTTTTTTGAGTCAACTCAAATTAGTGCTGCTGCTCCGGGTAGGATGGTGAAGAGTAAGAGCATAGGCGGCAGCAGCAGGAGCAGGGGGTTGGTATGGATGGTACTCACCAGTAACAGCGGCAACAATGCAAGCACCAGGTATGGGAGCGGAAGCATTGCCAGCAGCAGCAGCATCGCCAGTAGCTTTGGCAGCAGCCCCAGCAGCAGTGCTAAGGAACGAGCAGCCAGTGATGGGAATTTCCACGTTACTGTCAACGGAAATATCAGCAGCAGCAGCATTGCCAGTAGCTTCAGCAGCAGCAGCCCCAGCAGCAGCGCTAAGGAACGGGCTGCGAGTGATGGGAATTTCAAGGCGCCTCAACAGTTCAGCAGCAGCAGCCCCAGCGGCAGTGCTAAGGCACGATCTGCCAGTGATGGGAATTGCAGCCCGAGAGTGGGCAACATCAGGCGGTGTGCCACTGCTGGTGGCCAGCCTTTAATGAATCCAGGAAAAGCTTATAATGAAGCGCCGAGCGAATGGCAACGTAAGCAGAGTGAGCAAGGGAATGGGATGGAAGTGGAAGGGTTGTTGGAAGGGAGAGGAGGAGGGGGGAGGGAAAGGGGACGGGGAGGCGGAGGGGGTAAAGGAAAGGGGTTCGGGATCGGCATGTCCCATAAGCATACCGGTACCGGTAGTGTGACGTATGGAGTAAGCATGACACATGCACATGGGCTATCCCAAGGCCATCTGCCCATTGCCCCCCAAAGAGCTCATGAGATACACCTATCCTGAGCAGCTTGCACATTACAGTGTTATACACCTGTAGAATGCGTTTTATGGTACATCCAATGGTTACAAATGATAATGGTTATGAATTTGTTTTTCAGACTCAGTCAGTGAGGTGATGCTTTTGCTCAAAGTTTACAGTTCTATGATACGGTAGCTACCCCTAACGCATGTGTGGTACCTCATGTAGCAATCACCACCTAGTCATCAATGTTCCCAGTCTGCGGGCTTGAAGTGAAGCTGATATTTCCGTTATGACAGTAACGCGGAACAGTACCCCTAAGTCCCCACCGGGTGTGTGGGCAACCCGGCTTTGTCGCCAGCATTAAAGGATATTAAATACTGCACTGTGCAAGCGCCAACTTGGCTGTGGGCCAAATATTTCAGACTGGGTTGCTCGCGGACACTGTTCTCTGGACGCTTCTGTTTCTCGTTGGAATGGAAAGGGTGAGGTGAGGTGACGCCGCCTAAATCCACGAAGGCACATGCAAAGCTCACTGGTGGGGAACGTGGACATTTGAAAGGACCTGACCGCGGTTATGTTTTTGTTTTTAAATTCCTCCTGGAGAGTGGGTACACTACAGAAGCCTTGTTATTTGTCTTTTTATACAGCTTGAAGACTGTAATATCCCTTAAAACCTCCACCCTAGCGTACAGTGCGGTGTGGTCCAGCTGCTGGTTTGCGCAAAGGCCCCACTATCGCACGAAGGTCAACCGTACTACCATGTGGACATGTTCAAACGGATCGATGCAACTGTCAGCCCATTTCTTTCTCGCTATTCAAATGACTTTGTTGAGCACCTCGTTTAAGATCCACTTACGAGGTGTTGCGACCCAACCCAACCAGAGAGGCCTAGGAAAGGGATTGCAAAACCCCAATTTCCCGAACTGATCACAAACCAGACTGTCAGAGGTGCTGGGTCCAGCTTTCTTCCACACTTGTGTTTTCCCGCTTCCTCTCCCCGTGTTGTCACAAACGATACTTTCTCCCACCTAAAAGGGTGCCCTTCTCATCCACCAAGTTCCTTGCACCAGGCTGGGTGAAGGGGGACCCAGAAAAACAGGGGAGGCCTGGTTGGTGGTCCTTCGTGACACCCTAGCAGACACTTGCTGTGACACAGCGTGACGCCGTATTGTCCAACGTGGACACCTGGATAGTGACTGGCTGACCACGTCGCCACCACCCCATCCCTTTCAACAAATGAATAGAGAGATCACCCGAGCAAAAGATTCACTCCAGGGAAACAACTGTTGGTGGACTCTCTTGAACCTCTTATCCACGCGATTGGAGGGCTGCTCTCTCATTCGTCAGATCCAAATTGTTGGAGATATTGCGGCAGCAATGCGTGAAAAAGGGCGATCTACGTGAACTTTCTTTCTGGTCACGACGACTCGTGCTCGAAGTGGGTGGAATGGGATGATGGGAGGGGAAGCAAGCAACACCAGCAACACCATCCCGCACATCCCACCCAAAGCTTCAATTCAAAGCAGCATTTTGTACCGAACAAGGCTGAATCGGGCTTGTAGATAGTTTTGACTCTTTCGCCTTCAGTTTCATCCGTACCTCAATTGTTCAGATACTGCCTTCTTTGCTGTAATCCTACTCAATGGATGTAGTTGTCGAGAATGTCGTGCCTTCTAGCGCCTGTCCCTCCCACAAAGAGGACTTTGGCACATACGTCCTTATGGTACGTTCAGTTTCATTGCAATTACGTTTCTGAAGCCACGTTTCTCTAATTTCTCAATGCTCAGCCCTGACAGCTGTCATCTTCGAACGTGTGTCACAGATTCAGCACTTGATAGAGCGGTGTCTCGTTCTGGAACTGAGTCAAGCCGAGTGCATTGTGAGTCTCGCCAGAAGTGCGAGGATCAAGCCGGCCATAACCCTTGCTGGTATGTATTTCGCCACGAGCTCGAATTAGCCTGCATTTTGATGCGTACCATGGCTCACGATCTCGTTGTTTGTGCTTTTCTTGTTCTCCGCAGTTTGGAATGCTCTTGAGAAAGAAAATCCTGTTTTTTTCCGGGAGTACAATAAGAAAACATTTTCGCAAGCAGCGAGAATGGCGAGCCGTCAGAGGAGAGCCGCCGTCGAAGAGGAGTGCGCTGGCAAAGTACTCCAATGTCTGGAGCTGTGGCGAATTTCCTGATTCGGTTAACGACGAAGAAAAGCTGCAAGGGTTAGGCCGGAGTGACTGACGCGTCGATCACATGACAGGAGCTAACGTAACAGCCAATGCACATAGGCGTAGGGTTGAGAGGCTACTGGACTTTCAAACAGCATGTGCTTCGCCAGACTCCGCCGCTGTACATACCATTCTTGGATGTCGGCGTAGCACAAGCTCCTGAGCCAAAATTGAGGTGCTGTTGAGACGTAGGTTAGGGTTTTTTTGGTTTGTCTGTGTGTTGTGCATAGGTAGTTTTTGGTGTGTTTTGTGCGTCTCGGGCGTTTTGTGTGACTAGAGTGCGTCAATTAGCCACGATTATCCAGTACCGTTTTTTGGTGTGCATAAATTGGTCACCTGTAAGGAAAATCACTTTTCCTTGCTTCGTGTCCCTGCCTAGCGCGTACACCACTGTTCCCGCCAACAGCACCCCACAACATTCCGTTACCACTCACGACACTCGCCTCGACACCATTCCCGCCACTGTTCACGATGCGGCCCAACCTCACGGTTCGGTTGTGTCAGAATCCCAACCACTAGACCATTGGGATAAAAGGGCTTGTTAAGTAGCGGGTCAGTGCGCCCACAACCCCCCAGGCCAACATGCCTGTAACCCTTCCCTAGGATCAATCGAGGATCACCAGTGGACCTCTGACACCCCCCCGCACTGGGATGCCCGAAGTGCACACACTGGGATCCGAACCCGAGACCTTCGCTCTGATAGCATGTCAGAATCCCAACCACTAGACCATTGGGATAAAAGGGCTTGTTAAGTAGCGGGTCAGTGCGCCCACAACCCCCCAGGCCAACATGTCTGTAACCCTTCCCTAGGATCAATCGAGGATCACCAGTGGACCTCTGATACCATGTTAGATTAGGAGAGGACTTAGGAGACTAGGGTATGGGGGCTTGCATGAATGTCGAGAAGGTTGAGCAAAGAAGAGCGGTTCACTATAGAGTTGGAAGTACAAGTAGGCAAGAGCAAAGGGATAGGGTGCACCACCAACGGTTGATTCTAATAGCTAACTAATACACTAGCAAGCTGTAGACAGTTATAAGATATATAATTCAACAGGTTGGTAACCCGCGCTCCGGACCTCCGCCTCGACAGTTCCCAACCTCGGCACCAGGCCCGTCGCGCACCCCAATTTCCCACGTTTACCGTTACCACCGTAGCTTCGCTATATATTCTTCGCTCGACCTTTCGCTCATTGGATTCTTGCTTCGATAGTGCAATCCTCGCTCGATCACTCAATTGCACTAATTGAGAAAGCTCGATCCCCAATTGCACTTGCATCGTTCTCATTGCAACTGGCTTATTACAACATATGCATCGTTCTTAAACACATGCTAGTACATGCAAATATTACTAGCTATGGAGTCGTCCGTCCAAGCAGCTGTGGTCTTGTAGTTGGTCCGGGGTGGGTGGTGGGGATGTTGATTGAGCCGTTGGAAAACGAGAAACGTGGGTGGAGGGAATGAACTCCAACCCACGGTTTTTGTAGCTGGAGAAGGGCGTTTAGCGCGCTTCGACGCTGCCAAATATTCGGTACAGGCAGCTTCGCTTTCACAATACACAATTTTGAAAAACATCAATGTGTTTAAAAATTATAATATTGAGAAAGCTTGCTTTCTTGTCCTTATAATTTGGCATCGTTCTCATTGCAACTGGGGCCTCTGAGACATGGGCAGCGGTGGCTTCCGGTTGCGTAAGAGTGCCTCTGCGTGCTGTTCTGGGGGCAGTGCGTGTGTCGGGTCCTGTAGGTCGCGGGATGCCTTGATAAGATGTCCGACGTGTGGTGTGACGTACATCTCTTTGGCTGTGTCACTTCGCCACCTGCCCATCCTTTTGAAGATCCTGTCCGGCACGCCGATGTTGGCTGCTACGGTTGCCGCGCCCTTTCGGAAGGAGTGCGTGCCGAGCTGCTGCTCCCCAAGTCCAACCTTTGCGAATGCTTCTTTACACCAGTTCCGGATCGTTGTGTACGAGGGTGGCTTGGCCTGACCCTTGTTGGCTGAAGCGTGACCAAAAACGCGAATCAGCGACCCCTCTGAATGCGGGCCATAGCCAGCGAGTTGAAGGAAGCGTTGGGTGCAGCGCACGGGGCAACAGGGGTCCGTCGTTGCTGCGATGGGAATCCAAGTTCCACGACCGGCCTGGTCCGTTTTTTAGTGTGGGATGAGGATCCACATGACTTCGTCGTCGAATTGGATGTCTTGCCACTGGATGGCCACCAGGTCGGAGTATCGCAAAAATCCGGAGTACATGAGGATAGGGATCAACCCCTTCTGAAATTCAGCAGGATTGTCCGACTGCAAGTAGTTCGCGGACATGTCCCGAACTTGTTGGATTGATACGGGCTCCTTCATTCGACTAGGGCGAGGGCAGTGTCGTTTCGCGTAGTCCCGCACTTGAGTGGTAAACGGTCCGACAGTCGGGCATTTGCTTCCAGTCATGCGATGGGCGAAGCTGACTGCCGAGCACGTGAGCTGCATTACAGACAAGGTTGCTCTTCGTTGGATTGCATGTACCAAGTATAGCGCGAGG